AAAAAAAAAAAGCCGCTCCACAGCTGCAGCTTCGACTCGCAAATTGCACCGAGAAATTCGAGATTTTTGGGCACTTTTTTTTTTTGGATTTTCTTCCTGCGCTGTCGAGTTGATGCACGGTTCGGAGCCGAAATCTGCAAAGCGCAGGGCTCGACTCTGTAGCTCAGCTGTCGAGCTCGCGTTGAGCGCGTCTGGCTTGGAGAGGGCCGCACCAACCACCCGCTCTGCCTTCCTTCCCGCATCGCCGTCAACAACCCGTCGCTCTCTACCTTTGTCGCTCCTTACGTGCACCCAGTTCGAACAGGCGAGACTGCGCTTTCGACATCCTGGCTCCGCCTGCACGTGCTGTTCGGCACACGGCATCGACCACTGCGACGACGACGAGCATGTCGACGATGGCTTCCACCTCGGCCAACGGCGCGGATGCGCTCGACCTCATCCGCTCGGCCATCAAGGATGCATCGATCCAGGCAGACCCGCTCGCATCCATCCAGCTGCTCGATGACCACTCGTCGCCGGTACCCTCGGTGCTCCAAGCGACTGCGGTCAAGATCCGCGACGTTTCGCTGCCCAAGTCCACCACCACACGCCTAGCCCGTTCGCGAGACGAGCTGGCGGCACGCCTCGCATCTGGCTCTCCACCGGATCCCGACGCGGAGCCTGCGTTCTTTTACAATGTCGAGGCGGTCATCCTGGCGCTGCAGGCGCGCGACGAGCGTCCCGGTGCGTACCTCGCGCAGGCGGCCACAGCCAAAGTGGCGTCGTTCCCCACGCTCGATCGAGCGGCGATCCTCGACTATCTGCTGGGCAGGCGTTCGGACTGGGCGGGCGTGGTGCACATTCGCGATCTTCCGCGCGCAGCTGCCGACGGCGTGTCGGCACCCACCAGCACCAGCGCCGAAGCAGCAGCATCCGCGCCAGGTGCGCAGGGCGTCAAGCGCGCCTACAAGGTCAACAGGGAGGATGTCGAGTATGTCAAGCGCATCCGAAGCCAGTACGAGGTGGTGCTGCGCACGAGGAACGATGCGCTGCGAGGCAACATTGCAGCGCTCGTGGGTGGCGCAGCCGTGTCGCGCGTCGCCGGCTCCAAGGTGGCCGACTTTGAGACGTTCCGCCGTACGTTTTCGGCCAAGGTGGAAGCGTCGCGAAAGGCGGCTGGCAAGGCGCCACCGCCGTCGGCGGCACGCGCGGGTGTCTCGGCAGGCGGACAGGTGCGCAAGCAGCGTGCGCAGGACCCGATCGTCGTGCTCTCCAGCTCGCCCACCAGCCTGCTCAACATGTTCAACATCAAGCAGTTTCTGGAGGAGGGTGTATTCGTGCCGCCAGAAGAGGCGCGTCAGCGCGCACGCGGCGTTGCGGATCTCGTCGTATCCATCACGAGCCGCGGCGGCAGCACCGGTCAGGGCGCACAGGGCGTCGGCATTGGACGTCGCATCCTGGTGGTCGACAGCGCCGAGGCGGTGGTAAGGCTGGGAAGCTCGAGTGCGGCGACGCCCGGTGCGGATGCATGGAACCGCGTCATCGCCGTGTTCACTACAGGTCAGATGTGGCAGTTCAAGACGTACCGCTGGAACGAGCCGCGCGAGCTCTTCAAGAACGTCATGGGCGTCTACGTGCGCTGGCACAACGAGCCCCAAAACCCCAACGTACGCGACTGGAACGTGATCGAACTCCAGGTGGACCGCGCCAAAAGACATACGGACAAGCAGGTGGTGAGCCATTTTTGGCGCCAACTCGAGTCCTGGACCCAGCGTCGCAAACCGCATCTGATCAGCTAGCATCGATTTGCCGCCTTCTTTTCGTGTTGCTCTCGTTTCGTTTCGAACTACCTTCATGTACTACTATCCACACACACATACGAATTCGCACGCACTTGTGCTTGGACACGCCACAGCTTGTTCCAAAGTGAAAGGTTGCGATCCAGAGTCTTAGCGTACATGTTTCCAATCCAAGGGGGACAAGGGGGGGGGGGGGGG